AAATTATCATCATTAAATATGGTTCGTAAACCTAAGGTGTGGGAGGTTTGGCTAGACTCCTCTCATGTAACATATAAATAGAAATACTTACAAAAATTAAAGGGGGAGTAACAAGCCAAAAATGTATATCCTCATAGCTGTATTCGACTGTCCTCAACAATTTATTTTGCGGTTTTGAAGGTTGGATTTTTGTCCCCCTCCTTTTTTGTAATTTTCAATGAGGATGAATAGTCAATGACAGAAACTGAGAGACCCAAAATTCATAAATTGAAAAAAAAACTAATGAGCCGAAAAACTAATCTAAAGATAAATGAAGTTGCCTATACAAATTCCTTTCCATAACTACAAACATTGACTAGCTAAGAAAAAAAAATTCATTTATCAAGTTGAAACAATTTCTTTGCCTCTGTTGAAAGACCTTGAACAGTAATAAAATGTACTATTTAGAAGTCAACACTTGATTGGCTTCTCTAAAATAGTTATTAGAATTTGGAGTCACGTTGAAGTCCCAATAGGAGAATTAAGGATTTTTCAGATAGGAGATCAGAGCGTTTTTCCTTGGAGATGGAAAATTCGTCCACCTAGTTTTTTCAATTTGCAAATTCTTCCTCAGTAAGTTAAAACAATGAAATTGGCTGATATTATGACAATACTAGGTAGTATGTATATATCATTATGCGAGAAGTTGATCGTTGAAATGATAAGGTTTAAGGTTACGTTCAACAAAAGCTTTTCTTCATTCATAACTTGTACAAAAGGCACATGTTAAAATCAACACATTGTGATGCCAGACAATTAAATTCCTCCATTGATGAACATCAAGTTCATATGAGAAAGGAAGAAGAAAGTTCTGGAAGAGCTAAATGGAAAAGAAACTGTTTCATTGAATGAAAAATTAAGTAGTGTGATTGTTACATGTGACTCTGTATATATAGATACACGAATTGTAAACTAGCTAACCAACTTATGCAAAATCTGACTTTCTGTAACCAACTCTAACTAACTAACTCTGTGAAGCAGTAACAGTGCTAACTAACTCTGTGAACTTTAACTAACTAACTTATATTTCATCACCCCCCCGCAAGTTGGAGGTAAGTGAGTTTACAGACAACTTGGTTAAAAGTGTAGTATGTTTAACTCCAGTCAAAGCCTTTGTAAAAATATCTACCAACTGTGAATCAGTGGAAATGTGGTGAAGTGTGATCAGGCCTTGTTGAAGTTTGTCCCTAACAAAATGGCAATCGATCTCTATATGTTTTGTCCTTTCATGAAAAACTGGATTCTTGGCAATGTGTACTGCAGCTTGACTATCACAGAAAACTTGTATTGGTAAGGAGCAATGCACACACAATTCATTCAGTAACCTTTCAAACCATACCAGCTCTCCTACTACCTGTCTCACAGCTCTGTATTCTGCAGAGGATAAATAAACTGTGGCTTGTTTCTTAGACTTCCAACTGATAGGACTATCACCTATAAGCACTAGATAACCACTAACTGACTTCCTTGAATCAGGACAAGCAGCCCAGTCTGAGTCACAATAGGCACTAACAGTAAGGTCAGGTTTGTTTGAAATGAAGATTCCTATTGTATGATCTTGTCTCAAGTATCGAAGAACATGATAACCTGCTTTCAAGTGTGGTTCTCTGGGTGTTTGCATAAATTGGCTGAGATGCTGCACACTATAAGCTATATCCATCCTAGTATTTGTAAGAAAGTTAAGTTTCCTATCAACTTCCTGTAATAGGTAGGATCAGACAATAGCTTCCCATCTGTGGCCTTTTTTTCAGTACAATTAAGGGGTGAGGCTGCAAACTTTACAGTCGAAAGAATCAAACTCCTTCAAGAGGTCAGTGGTGAACTTCCTTTGTGAAATGAGAACTCCATCAGGCCTGTACAATATTTCTAACCCCAAAAAGTAGTGTAGTCTACCTAGATCCTTTATTTTGAACTGATCATGCAAAAAGGATTTCAAAGAATTGATTTCCTCCAAATCAGTTCCAGTTAAGATCACATCATCTACATATATGGAAACAAACACCAAAGAAGCTCCCTTCCTCTTATAAAATAGTGAATAGTCACTATCTGAATGTATGTATCCTTTTGAACAAAGACTGCTGGCTAATTTTTCATACCATTGTCTACTAGCTTGTTTCAAACCATATAATGATTTCTTCAGTCTGCACACGATACGTGGACTGTCCACTGCAAGACTTGGTGGCAATGTCATATATACTTCCTCATTCAAGTCACCATGAAGGAAAGCATTATTAACATCCAATTGATACAAATTCCATCTCTTCTTGACAGCCAATGTGATAAGGGTCCTAACAGTGGTCATCTTAACCACAGGAGAAAAAGTCTCATTATAGTCTATACCAGCTTGTTGAGTATACCCATTAACTACTAGCCTTGCCTTGAACCTCTCTACACTACCATCTGCCTTGTGTTTGATTTTGTATACCCATTTACAGCCAATAACACTCTTCCCTTTGGGTAGGAGGACCAGTTCCCAAGTATTGTTTGGATACAATGCTTCAAATTCTTGTGTCATTGCCTTCTGCCGGTAGGATACAAGATTGCTTCTTCATAGGAAGAAGGTTCACAGTCTTGTGATATATTTTCAATCAACTGCTGACTATCAGAACATAAAGAGGTGAAACAAACACTATCATGGTTGGACACAAAAGAAGTGAGGGACTTATGTGGGCTGGAGGTACTTGTAGTGGAAAGTAGGTTAGGTAGAGTGTAATTATATTCTTTCAAATAGGTGGGAGTATGAAGTGGTCTAGTTGTTCTTCTAAGGGTAGGTACAACATCACAAGATGGAACAGGTGCAGACATGGATTGTGTGGTGGTTAATGATGAATGGGTATTCTGTCCTGCAGGTGAGGTTGTGTTTTCTGCAGTATCATTGATTACCTGATTAGTGGGGACTTCATGTGATATGTTAAAGTCCAGTAATTCATCATTAGAAAGCATGCTTGTTGAATATGGAGTGTAAGTAGAAGTGTTGGAGTGATGGATCAAAAACTTTAAAACAGAAGAAAAACTAGAACCATCAGGAGCAAGTACAAAAGGAAACACAGACTCATGGAAAATAACATCTCTAGATACATGGACTCTTTTGGTAGCTAAATCTAAGACCTTGTAACCTTTTGTATTGAAAGGATAACCAACAAAAATATGTGGTGTTGCCCTTGGTTCAAACTTGTCCTTGTGGGCTTTTAAGGTAGTGGAAAAACATAGGCATCCAAAACTTCTAAGATGAGAGTACGTAGGTGGTGTATGGTACAATAGTTCATAGGGAGTTTTATTCTGTAAAGGTTTAGAAGGCAATCTGTTAATAAGGTATGTGGCTGTTAATACACACTCTCCCAAGTACCTCATGGGCAATTTAGACTAAAATAAGAGGGCTCTTGTTGTCTCAAGGAGGTATTTGTGTTTTCTTTCAACTATGCCATTTTGTTGAGGTGTATATGGACAAGATTTCTGGTGTATTATTCCCTTTTCTTGGAAAAAATGAGTGGCCTCAGTAGAGGTGAATTCCAGACCATTATCAGACCTGATGGTCTTCAATTTGGTCTGGAATTGATTTTCCACAAGACATATGAAAGCCTTGATTGTTTGTAGAGCATTACTTTTGCACCTCAGCAGTTGTGTCCAAGTTGATCTAGTGAAATCATCTACCATGGTTAAGAAATAGTGATAACCATCATGAGTAGGAATGTGGTATGGTCCCCATAGGTCAATGTGAAGTAACTCAAAAACTTTACTAGTGATAGTTGTGCTGTCTGGGAATGGCATTCTAGGTTGTCTAGCCATGGGGCATATGGCACAAGTGAAAGGTTGTTTAGTAGAGAAAGGAACATGTATAGTTGGGATTCTTTTCATTTTTACAAAAGGTACATGACCTAGTCTAGCATGCCATATGAGTTCATCTGTAAGAGAGTTATCAGACTTAACAATAAAAGAAGAACAATCAGTAAGATGACATGAAGAAGAACCAGGTTTGGGACAATCATCTTTATTATCAACAGGACAATGTCTTACAGTAGATGATGTTGAAAACTCATTACACTTTACTAAAGAGGGAACAAAAGTACAATGACTGGAAATGACATGAGGTCCTTTGCTCTTAGTAGAAGATGAACAACAGTTGTGGCACTTTGAACATAGGAAATAGAGGCCATTCTTGGCTCTACCAAGTTCCAGAGGGCTCTTCAGAGAAGGGCCCTGCAGTAAACAAGAAAAACTGTTAAAGCTTACCACACCTTTGAGTTGAATGCTAGACAATGAACTGATATTAGATTAAACTTGAAACTTGGAACAAAAAGCACTTTCTGTAGAGTTAAAACTGGACTTAAACAGACATCACCAATCTCAGTCACTTTAACTTTGTAACCATTAGGTAGACTGATAAGGAAAAGATATGGTAATGGTCTAATGATTGTGAGAGTGTTTTTATTGTAGGTCATGTGATGTGATGCTCCCGAGTCTATGATCCAAGAGTCAGCAGTTAATTTTACACATCTACAAGAAAGATCACCTATCTCAGTAATGGAAGAGTAACAAGGAAGTATACTTGCCAGATTCACAGCTCCACTTAGCATGTTGTCTGAGTTAGGAGCTCCATCGTCCAACCTGCAGGGACTACCCAAAAGATTGAGCAGTTGTTCATACTGATCTTTGGACAAGTTCAAAGGCATTTGTTTCCTCAACTCAGGGTCCTCTTCACAGTGGTTCCTATCATTCTTAGAGGTGCACATATTTGCTGCAGAACCAGCACTCTTCCCTTGGAAAACTTCGAGTTGGATGGATATCCATGAAGTTTGTAGCATCTTTCTCTTGTGTGACTTGTTCTCATGCAGAAATCACAAAACAAGGAACTCCTGCTGGTGCTAGAATTACCTCTAAAACACATTTGTGTTATTCAAATTCCCAGAGACTCCTATGCTCCCTTTAGAGGAATTGTAGTTTGTTCTGGGGCCTCCCTTAGATCATGTACTACTGGCAAGAGCATTCAATGAAGTTGAGTCCAAAGCTGTGTGGTTGTGAGGTCTTACTTCCCTCTGTTTTTCCTCTTGAGACAAAATGGCAAAAACTTGTGCCATACTAGGCAGGGTACTTATCATGAGAATGTTTCCTCTGATGACAGTGTACATTTCATTCAGTCCCATCAAGAAATATATGATTCTTCTATCTTGTTCAGCTTTGACCAACCTTATCTTACCACCACAAGTGCAAACACAACTACATTGAGAGCTTACATCGACAATGCTCATATCTTCCCAAAGTTTCTTCATCTTTGTGTAGTATCCAGTAACATCCAAGGTGCCTTGGACAAGATCATTTATCTCCTTTTGAAGCTGGTACAGCTTACAGCCATTAGTCTGATCATACCTTTCTTCCAATTCATCCCACAATTCCTGTGCATTGTTAACGTACTGCAGACTATCCCTTAGATCTGGTGACAAGGAATTCAAAATCCAAGAGGTTACCATATCATCACACCTCTCCCACTGCTGGAAGCTAGGATTATCTGGATTTGGTTTTACAACTTTCCCATTGATAAAACCTGTCTTGCTCTTAACTGACAAGGCCCTAAGAACAGCTCTCCTCCAAGATCTATAACCAGTACCATCGAAAACTCCAGGCAATAGAGATGAACTTGCATTCTCGGAAGGGTGTAGATAGAAAGGACTAGGAATCTTAATCCTAACCATGGATGTAGAACCACTTGGAATTGGATCAACTTGTTGATCAACCATATCGAAAAGTGATCGAGAAAAAATTCAATTTGAGGAACAACAACTGAAACTCAAAATTGAAACAGCAAAAAAAAACTCGAAAAAAAAACTCTTTGAGAATTGAAGCTCACAGATTGTTGTAGATGCGGAAAGGAAACATGATCTATGCCCTGTGCTCTGATACCATGTTAAAATCAACACATTGTGATGCCAGACAATTAAATTCCTCCATTGATGAACATCAAGTTCATATGAGAAAGGAAGAAGAAAGTTCTGGAAGAAGCTAAAATGGAAAAGAAACTGTTTCATTGAATGAAAAATTAAGTAGTGTGATTGTTACATGTGACTCTGTATATATAGATACACGAATTGTAAACTAGCTAACCAACTTATGCAAAATCTGACTTTCTATAACCAACGCTAACTAACTAACTTTGTGAAGCAGTAACAGTGCTAACTAACTCTGTGAACTTTAACTAACTAACTTATATTTCATCAGCACACACATATATATCTACATAAGCTTTTCAAAAGTTAATAGAGGGACATATATACTTATCCAATCATTATTGTACTTTTTTATGAGACATATTTCATAAAACAATGACGACCATTCATTTACAAACTAAACAAAATATTGAATTTTTTCTTGCTAAACTAGAAACTATATAGAAAAATCTCATCTTCTACACTTGGCTTCCTTGAGATCTTTCTTAGATACTTCGGTCAGTTAAGTCCTTAGAACATCAAACAAAGAGCATTGGTGTTCATTGCAGCTCAAATTAGCATATTTCAAATATTATAATATCATTGGTCATGATGTTTGCAATATGCTAATCTGCGTTGCAATGAACAAGTTTAACTTTCTCGTCCTTCTCTATTTGCTTAATAGCGTGAAACTTCACATTTATATGTTTTCTATGATCGCCATGTTGGACTAGATTTTTTGCCATAAATATTGTTGACTTATTGTCAACCTTAATGACACTAACTTCAATGTGATGTTTTTTTCTAGATCACTTAAGGGCCGTTTGGTATAGTGTATTAAGGAAATAGTTCATGTATTATGCATTATGATATTATTTAGTACTATGTTTGGTAGAAATTTTGGGCCTATGTATAATTAATACATGTATTAGCTATATACCCTATGGTGTTGAGTGTATAACTAATACCTTTTATGGTTTTAGTAGTACATATGATTTAATACGATGAGATTAATATATGTAAATTAAAAAATACCCCTCAAATTCTTTAAATCATTTTGTTTATATGCTTTATATTTTATATTTGTACTAGTAAAGGTATTTAAATAAATTAGCTTACACATTTTATTATTTAGAGAGAGTTGTCTGTTGCTAAATAAATTCAATACAAATCAATACAATATTTGAAATGTGGGTTGTTTAACATTTACTAATTGAAAAAGGAAATTATGACCACATGACGATTGTGATTTTAATTGAATGTATATTTGTTGATATATATGTGGTTTTCTGATTATTTGTATTTTGACCAATTTATAAAATTGTGTACATATTAAAACTATAACTTGCAATTTTTATGTGTAGACGTAGATGATTTATTCGATTTTACTATTGTTTACCGTCTTTTAGATTTTAAAAGTAGATGATCTATCTTTTTTTAAATTAAAAATTTACGTTTTGTGAGTGATCAATTCATTAAGATGACAATTATTTATCCCCAAATAATTCAAGTTAGAAAATAACAAACATGACGACAAAATTGTTCTTCTCCCATCTAGTTAGAAGGCCACAAAAAATAATATTGTCTTGAAATTATCTACCTTGACTCAATTACATGAAATAGAAAATCACATAATAATTCAAGAGTATAATTGGAAATAATCTTTTTGTAGAGTTTTAAACCAAACACAAGATTAGATGAGAAACAATGAACCAAACACTTGATATAAAGTAATCCTTCATTATTAATTCTTGCATTACTAATCCCTGCATTACTAATCTTTGTGTTACTAATTGTATGTTATTAATCTTTATACCAAACGACCCTTTAGAATATTACTTAACCATAGAGCCTGATTAGTTACACCAACAATGGTAATGTATTCGACCTCTGTGGACGATTTAATTACCGGTTCTTGCTTCTTTGAATTTAATGAGAAAATGCATGAACCAAGTGTAGGAGCATATCCAAAAGTGATTTGCATATCATCAATATTCCTATCCAATCACTATTTAAATATCACATTAGTTTACCCTGCTCATCATTTTAAAATCAAATACAATAATCAGCAGTTTCCCTGTATGCCTCGATGTTTGTTTAGCAACAATAAAATAAACTTGACTTGGAGCATGTATAAAACTCGATAAAAGACTTGTTGTGAACAAGATATTGTGTCTTGTTGTTGTCAAATATAGCAAACTACCAATTAGACTTCTATAAACTGTTTAATCAACTCTATCACCTCCTTTTGGCTTTAAAATCTTTTCATTGTGAACCAGTGGAATCGATACAGACTTACACTCTCCATTTTGAACCTTTTACGAATATCACATGCATTTTTCCTCAGAGAAATGAATATATCATTACTAGCTTGATGAATATTCTCATAAAGTAACTCATTTCACCCAAATTTGACATATCAAATTTGGCCTCCATTTCTCGGTTAAACTAATTCATCATAACATCATTACTACTTGTAAATAGAAGACCATCAACATTGAGTGACACCATAATCAGATCTCCTCCATTAGCCCTTTACATCTGTAAAGTGACTTTATTTTTACTTTTTTTGAAGCCACAATGAATCAGATGAGCATCAATCTTACTGTACTAGGCTCGAGAAAGCCTTCTGTAATCCATACAATGCCTTATGTAGTCTATAGACTATATCCTCCATTCCTGCAACTTGAAAGTCATCTGGTTAGTCGACATAAATTTCCTGCAATTATTCATTTAAGAATGCCAATTTCACATTTATTTAATACAACTTCTGATTTTATTGAGTTGTTAAATCAAATAGAAGCTTTATTGTTTCATATCTTGCAACAGGTGCAAATGTGTCTACATAATTCAAACCTGCCTTTCAAAACAAGCCTTGATTTGAATTAATAAACTAAACCATCTAGATTAAGTTTGGTTCGATAAATCCGTCTCACCCCTATTACATTTCTGTATTTGGTTTTATCAATCATCATTCAACTGTCATTCTTCTTTATAATACCAGTCTCCTCATTCATAGTTTAATCCACACTTCATGTCTTGATGTTTCATAATAGGTGTTGGTTCCAAGAAAGCAACATTACATCTTTCATATATCTCAGAATGGGACTTTGTTTTCACAATTGGAAAATCAAGTAAGGATTCTCCGTCTAATTCTTCATCTTCTTTGAGACTTTTAGAATGAAATGATTGTGTTGCAAGCAACAGACGCAAGTTCTGAAAACCTACATTTTCTTTCTCAATTCGCTCCTTATCCATATTCTAATAAGCATGCTTATCCACTACTACATCTCTTCTAATGGAAATAGGTTTTGTTTGCAAGTTGAAAACTCTATATCCCTTGGCTTTTGATAAATAACCAATAAAGATCCCTGATTCATCTTGGGGTTCAAGTTTTCTTCTTTTAATTGAAGGAACATGAAACAAATTAAATCGACCCAAACATATTTTTAAGTGCTTGGAAGATGGTCTTATTCTACTTCATGCCTCAATATGAATATTTTCATCAACAACTTTTGTTGACAACCTATTTAACAAATACTTTGAAGTCTAAAAAAATTCTTCCAGAAGCTATGCAGTAGTTTTTTTTAAAAATAAAATAAACATCTAGCCATTTCAACAATAGTCTTGTTATTCCTCTACGAAACTCCATTTTGTTCATATGAATAGCTTACTGTCAGCTTGTGATCAATCCCCATATATTCACAATTCTTATTGAAATTATTTGAAGTGTATTTACCACTATTGTCTGACCTCAGAGTTGATAAAGCTCAAATCACTCCTCAAAACTAATCAAAAGAGTGAACAGTCGTAGTCAATAAAAATTCAATAAAGAGTCGGGATCGAATTCCATAGAGAATGGTATATCGTGGAGAATTCCTATCAAGAAATTTGTATTTTAGATTCCTCATTTGCAATAGTAAGAACAAGTGGGTGGATACTTCTACCAAGTTTATATAAAGCTTTGGTTATCAATTATCGCAATTTAATCTAAAATGTCGAAGAGTTCAAGAGTTAACAAGCAATCTAAGGTGCGAGGATTGGAAATTGATGTCAGATAGGGATAATTGTGCTGCTCTATAGTGATGAATATTCATGAATAGACTAAGTCATCTTCATTGACGCTAGTCATCTTTCGATCTCAAAGCATCTATGCATAGAATTTCCTTTTAGTCTAATCTGAATGCCATTCTAAACAGCCCAATACTTTACTCTATTCTCTATTTCAAGAACAGGGAAAATAGATCTGATCCATAATTTCTATTTTCAAGCAAGTTACAGACGTCAAATCTAAATTGCTAGTATCATACTAATTACCTACTCCAATCAATATCTTTCGAGCATCAACCAAAGATCAGAAGTAGGAATTAAGTTTGCAACCTTAACTCATAAATTAACCCCATTCTAATTAGACAAAATTCATGTATGAACAAAAGCAAAACAGAGCATAGCACAATACCCACTATATTAAATCAACACCCACTCCTATAATTGCTGTAACACCCCAGATTTGAGAAAAGGGAAAATAACAGTTTTTGAGAAGTTACAGGTGCCAATCACGGAGGCTAACCACGACCCGTGGATAGGAGCATAGACCGTAGGTGAGGTCCGTGGACTGGTCACCCAGAGGCCATGAACCATGGCCTGACAAACGGATCATCGGTCAGACCACGGTCTGTGGTTAGGGGTCTGTAGGTTAGGGGCCCAGTTCCACCTCTCTGAAGCTAGACGACGGACCAATAGGACGGACCATCGTTCAGACCACAATTCATCAGTCAAGGTCCGTAGGTCGTGGGTCGATAATTAGCTTAGGG